TTTTGGGTGGTCTAAGAATCAAAGATTTTTGGTGTGAACCAAAAATGTATGCTGATATTAATATTGCACAAATGTGAATGAATGTCAACAGTACTACGCCTTGCTACAGGGCTCACAAATGTGTCAACACATTTTAGGCCTCACCACGGTGGCACCAAAAATGTTGGGGTCAACACATTAGCCTTCACACGGAGGCACCAAAATGTTGGGACTTAATTGGCTATCGGAAATTTATTAATTATTATTAATTATAATTAATAATTATTATTATTATTAATTGATAATTAATAATTATGTTAAATAATGTGACTTAATTAACATTAAATCACCTCGTGGGCCACCATTCCCATAAAGGGAAAATTGATAGCCAGTTAAAGATATCAGTCTCATAAAATACGCTAAACTATTAATTTGGAGTTTTGATTAATAATTAAATTAATGACAACAACCAAAATTAACAGTAATGCCTGAAGGATTTCGCAGTTCTTGACACAGCAGAGGTTGACTATTCATTCACTCTTGTGCAACATTAAACAGACAGCAGACATGATTCCAAAGAATTATATTTATTCACAAAGTAGCAAAGCAAACCAAAACACACAAATTCTAACTAACTATATAGAAGCTTGGTGTGTATATGTGTGTTGTGTGTGTGTGAGAGAGAAAGAACAGAAAGAAAGACAAAGGTGGGTGTGGTGATCAAGGAGCCGTTTGGCCTACAAAACAAAATGGCTGACAACAGAGAACTACCAAAATGGCCGAATCAAGGCTGGCTTCCGGTCGGGGGAGGTGTTTGTCTGACCGTGTGGTCAGGACAAAGACAAAGGAAAAGAAGCGGGAACTTTGAGATGCCTGTTTGGGTGTAAACGGTCTGGATTGTTGCAGAGATTGTTTAGTTGCATGCAAGAATTTGTTTGTGAACAGTATTAGCAAACTAAACACTTAGCTTTGGCGAAGCCAACTTATCAATTACTTAACTGCAATCTATCACAACAATAACTCAGTAAACAGCATCAAATCACATACAACAAGTTAAACAGTCTTGCTTAGCCTGTAAAGCTGTGATAAGCTATGCCCAGTTGTTAAGTTACCGATCCTTGAATGGATGGGAGAACGAGTCACTTGGTGGTGTGCTGCTTTGTTAACCGGCAGAAGAAGGCTGGGAAGATGGTTCCAGGTGCAGTCTTTGTTGGGTCCTTTGTTCCAAATGTTCTGATCTGAGGAAGCTGGTCGCTCAGGGTTTAGCAGAGTTAGACACTGGGTGCTAACTCACTTAGTTCCTTGTTGCTGGAAAGCTAGTTGCAAACCTTGTGTTTGCAAGAGAGTCTATGATCCATTGCCCTCCCTTTAGTGGTTTGTGCTATGGAGCAAGGGTCTGGGCCTCTGCTGTTCCAGGCCCAGCCGGAAAGAGGTGTCCACTGTTCAACAGCTGGAGCAAGAGAGAGAGAGATCTGAAGGGAGCAGACCTTGTACAGATGCCTGTGACATCACAGAGTCACATGTCACTGTAAAAGTACTGTCCAATCAAATTGTGAGACTTGTGTCTCACTGAGGTGTGAGGTGAGACCTCCTGTGGAGATGGGTGTCACCTAACTGTCTTTGTTTGAAGACAAAGAGCATGCAGAGGAAAAAGCCTTTAAATGCCCAGTGATGATTTTACCAAATGATAAATCATCTGTGGTCCTGTGAATCCCAACATTTGTAAAACATGTGTTTTACTGTTTTCTTACTATGTTTTTTTCTGTATTACATTACTGTCTTACATAAAATAGTAAATAGTGGTGTGAAAATTGAACACTGATTGTGAGAAGCCTGTGATTAGACTGGTGAAACCAATATCTGTATGGTAGTTTATTCAGTCGGCTGTAGAGGGACAACTGATTTTATTATTGGCTTACTGGGTGTAAGTAACTAAAGAGGTGTCTTCTGTCATGCTGACAAAGTTTTAAGACATCTGACTGACTTGATTTAACAATGACAAAAGGGACATGTCTTTTTGGTGGCAGTGATGAGCTCATTAACTAAGTTACTGACTTCTGACACGCACGTTTTGAGTGCGAGAGCGCGTTTTGCAGGGGAATTGAAGTGTTGTGCTGCTCAGTAAAAAGTCATGTGTGATTGCTCTCAGTGTTTTGTGAACCCCAACAGTGTTTTAGAAAAATGTGCATAAGCAACTGAGACACACTGCAATGGAAGCACATTAAAATTTCAGGTTAACAGAAAATATTCATCAGTCATTCATGTGTCATGTCAACTGACATTGTTGTCAATTTTCCTATTCTTCTACCCTAAATCTGAAAGTTGAGATGCAACATGCTCTCATAAATGAAGCCTTGATGGCTGACTGTACTTCTTAGGATCAGTGTAAAAGGAAACATACATGTAATCCAGGATCAGCTGTTCCTCCAGCCTGCAGATACTTACCAGAGCTGTGTGTGCCTGGGTGGACTACTTCCAGATACACCTCAAAAGTGGACTCAGGGCTCTCCCTGGAACAAAGGAGAAAACATACGATTGTGCTCTTTGCATGTTATGGACAAAAGACTTAAAGATATCCCATTTATCACACAGTGTAGCCTTCCATTTCAAAGAATAGTTTATTTAGACTTTTTATTTTTTAGGTGTCTTATATTTCAGCTGTAGTATGGTAACTGTACTTTATCTGACATTACATCACGGTAACAGCTGTATGTCAATTGACTGACTGAAGTTGTAAACGTCTGCTGCAAAGAAGTGCAAAAGGTTTCTAACAATATAATCAATTACTACATTACGTGGAAACACAAACAGCTTGTTGCAGAGGTGTAAAGCATAACTCCTTTTTTAATCTTAGCAGGCTTATCTAAGATTAGACTAATGTAGCTTGTGTTGGGTAGTAATACCAAAGTTATTATGAATTCCCTGTTAAAACCACACAGGTTTAAATTTTACTACAGCAGATTGAGATGTCATTATATTCTGTATAATGTATAATTATGTATTATACAGAAACAAAATTACTAGAACATTCAAATGTCTTAGCTGTCATGTTTACTGTAACCATTTTACTAAAATGAAGCTGCGTTTTGTAATCTCCACCTTATATTTGTAATCTACAATATGTACTAGGTACCACTGTACCACAGTTTCTCCTGTGATAATATAATTTTATATGAAATCAAAGTTTCATAGTAAAACATGTTGCTTATTGGATCAATTTTTGTTCTATACAGTGATACTGTCTCCTGCGTCTTAATTTGCTTACTTGCCTTGTCTCTTTCTTACTTTTTACATTTCAGGGGAATGAACCAGGTTTCAATTCCTCCTACATGTATGATACACCATCCAGGCCTAGAGCCTCCTGTTTGAATCCATACACCCTGCAGAACATCCACAACATTAACAGGTATGGCAATGGACCCCTGAGGTTTATAACTGAATAAGAGTGAGTTTTTATGACATGTAATGAGATACAACTGTGTAAACTCAATTCTGAACACTAAGGTTTCATTTTATCAACAAACCCACTAACAGAGATGTGACAAATAAGTATTTTCCCAAAAAAACTTTATTTTTAGCTATTTTTTTTTAAAAATGACAATGACAAAAAAGCTTTAGTACGACAGAGTGGGGGGCACATTGAAGAAAAAAAGAATTCGGAGATTTCGAGAATAAAGTCGAAATCTTACGAGAAAAAACTCATAATATTTCGAGAATAAAGTCATAACTGAGAAAAAGTCATAATATTACGAGAATAAAGTCGAAATATTATGAGATTAAAGTCGTAATATTTCAAGAATAAAGACGAAATATTACGAGAAAAAACTCGTAATATTTCGAGAATAAAGTCATAACTAAGAAAGAGTCATAATATTATGAGAATAAAGTCGAAATATTATGAGATTAAAGTCGTAATTTAATGAGATTAAATTCATAATAATATTACGAGAATAAAGTCATAATATTATGAGATTAAAGTCATAATTTAATGAAATTGAAGTCATAATATTACGAGAATAAAGTCGTATGTTTTTAAGGAAATAACCAACAAACAGAATGTCAGATTGTCCTTCATGCCGTTGTAAGTAGCCTACTTAATTAGGTTCGAGAACCGGCACCGTGCCGGTTCTGTGTCAGTCTAAATGCGCTGTTTGTGACTCCGGGCCCAACTCTGCCACTGATTGGCCAGTCTGACATTCTTCATAATACATATAGAACGTTAGTGAAACACATAGGCCTAACAGAAAGATGCGTTCGTTTGGGGACAAGTTAGTGGTCACGTTACTTGTTCCACAAGCGAAGGACCCCGGACACATACAGTAAATACACTGGTTGTTAGTAACTTTTAACATACATGAGTCTTTGTGACTCTTGGCTCTTGTCCCCTAACTAACACTTGTTTCTGTTTCACTGACGATATTTTCACCCCATTAAGTCACATCCCGTTATTTCCCGTTATTTCCTCTGTAAACCTAACGTTTCAGCAGCCTACAAGCATGCTGTGTCAATAAATCAGCTCAGACACTGTTAGAAATGTAGTATTTAGCCTAATAACATCATGCTACAGCAGTAATAACATAAGCTTTAGTCAAATGGCCCTAGCTCTCCCGGTAAATGTCATAAACCATTTTCCCTGTATGTTGACATGATAATGGCCGCGTTTCCCAGATCGCTCTTAGCTTAAGAAGATCTTCCACTAAGAAGGAGTTGTAAGATCGAGCTGACCCACTCTTAACACTGTTCTTGCCACCAAACCAGGGGCGGAAATCCCGGGGGGGACGGGGGCCATGACTCCCCCTTCAATAAAGCTGTACCCCCCTAGAATAATTTGAGACACAATTAATTTTTGAACAATGCAGTAGTATTTATTAAAAGCACAATGTAAGCGGTGCTCATTATAAAAGCGCAATAATGTGCTATTTAAATCTTAAAAGATTTAGTCCCCCCCTCCCATTCCTGGTAGTGGTATATCCCACACTCTTTCCAACGGGCGGGGCTAGCAGCCGTTATTACTTGGCAGCAGTTGCAGCATGTGGCTGGACCCGGCTGCCCACATCGCGCGGGGTAAGATGTACACTTGCAGATACAGTTTAACTTACACAAGTTACAACACATCCCATTTACTGTTACAACAAGCCCCAGGCCCAGGCTGATAATATAAACTGTCTGCAACATTTCTCCTGCATTGTCCAAAAGTCTACTCAATTAAGAGTGCTGCTAAGTTAAGAGCTAATGATTAAGCTCAGAGTTTAGTGATAGAGAGGACAGGAGAGAAAGAAGAGGGAGAGGACAGGACAAGCAGTCAGTGACGGAACAGCTCGTAGTTAATATCTGTAGGCTCTCCACCTGTCAGTGAGACAAACATGACGGACGTGCAGTTTAACTGACGAGGAGCGGCCATTACGCGTGACTATTATGCACGGTTGTCACGGAGCGGCTTGTAGCTAATGGGTACCTGTCTGGAGGCTCTCCACCTGTCAGTGAGACAAACATGAAAGACGTGCAGTTTAACTGACGGGGAGTGGCCATTACGCGCGACTATTACACACGGTTTTGAGGTGCGCAGCGGCAGATCTCACAGCACACTGTTTATAAACCAGTTCACCAGTTTAATTGCAGGAAATGTTTATCTCACTGCCGGTAAAAAAAAGAAAAAAACAAACAAAACGGTTTGCTCCTGCAGCCAGTCAGAGACGACGGATCCATTCCACACACCTGAGCCAGATGAAAAAGAGGGAGAGAAGGAGAGAGATCGAGTTTCGGTCTTTGATGAATGAAGCCTTATTGTTTTGCTGCTATTAAACAATGAGAGACATGTTTTCTCCGTTTACTTAATAGCATAAATATTCACACTACTGCGCACGGGGAGACAGAGACCTCCTCTGCTCCAGACACACTCAGCACCTTGGACAGCACGGCGCACCTGACTGTTGTCGATGTGTACATGTTAATTTAATTTCAATCATTTTGTTTTAAATCTGGACATGTGCAGGTGGACTAAGCCAGTGCTGAGAAAGGTCCTATGCCTGCCTGTTGGAGAGATAGAGAAAAGATTAAAGCGTCAAATTGCGGTAAAAGATGTTGTATAAAAGACAGGCTACAACTTTTTTTCCTTGTCCATACTACTCCATAATACTCCATCGTACTTTAGCACACTGTTAGAGCATGCCCTAAGGAAAATTTTTGGCTATAGGGCCATCACATATTTTTCCTATGACACCATGGCTTGATTCTGGTGGCTAATATTTTCAAGGATGAGGAAGGCAGTGGTACTATTTCCAACATGCTAGAAACTACCTAACTACATGCATGTGGCATTCAGGGAACTAAATGATAGTAAAACCATATATTAGTGGAGTTACACATATTTTCCTGATTTACAGAATCAGTTGTGTGCAGACCACATATGTTTATGTGTGTATCTATTTTAGAGCCCAACCCAATGAGGAATGCAGTGGTACTATTTACAACATTCTAGCAACTACCTAACTACATACTGAATTAGTGCTGCTTGTGTTGGGGTAGTCCGTCAATTGTTCTACCCTTCTGGGTGAAGAGCTGCTTGCGTGCCTGATTAACTGATTCCTGGCTGCTAGTACGGTCATACAGCAATACCACAAATAGCTCCAGAGGCTCTATCCAGTTGTCTATGGAGTCTGGGGTGGCAGCCAAGGCACAGAAGGCTCTAGCGACATCATCAAAGGTCATCCATGTACCCCACGCCGTCTTCTTTCCCCTGCCACCAAAAGATGACACTGTGTCACATCCAGTAAAGGCATGGAACATTGGTAAGGCTATGCATCGATCTGGACCTAGTGCCCTCGCCATCTCATGAGCTGCTAAATGCTGAAAACTCTTCCCAGCTCCAAAGGCAACCCACAGCTCACTGATGTTGAGGGATTGGGCTGCTGTCACCAGTACTAGCACGTCCATGTCAACTGTGCGTATTGACACCTTGTTATACCCTTCCTTCACAGCATCTCCTAGGTGCAGCAGGATGCAGGTATCAGCCTCCTGATGTATGCATGGTGCAAGACCTGATATATCTCGAGGCTGAATACAGAGAGCTTCAGCATGGCAGTTGCTGAGTATTTGTTTTCCAGTGTTGAGGGTTTCCACACTAGTTGCCAAGAAGGAAAACAGTTCAGCCTTGTTGTCGTCGATGCATAGAAACTCTGCCCAGTTTCCAGGTATGGCACTGGATGGCTCAACGTGTCTGCAACTCCCTTCCTTCTCGAGTTTTGGCCTTCAGACTTTCAAGGAAATATTCATGCCACACAACATCCACTCTGCTGACATGCTCCAGCTGAAACAGGATGTATGGTGAGAACACTTTCTGTGCATAGTCAGAAAATGTCTTAGCAGCACCAGGTCGTAGCATGTTCAAGAGTAGCCCCATCAAGTATGATGACTTGTTCTGTGGGGTTTGACACATTCTCTTGTGAAGGAATCAGGTTGGTACCAGTTCTCAGCTTGCCCATTTGCAACAATGCTGGTGGACATGCCTGGT